ATTCGTTCGTTAATTCGTTCGTTCCCTAGTTTTAGTAGGCCTAAATCGTGGAACGAATTATTATATTTTGTAATTACTTATTAAAATCATTATTGCTTAAAATTAATAAATAATAATAAATTAATTTAAAAACTAATAAAACCTGCTGACGTCGTAGAAACGAATTGTTAATTCGAATTATATTCGGAGCTCCGTAGTTATTAAATAATCTCAGTTAAACTGTAGACCTAAGCTAACACACAGCTGTATATAGGCCTAAATACAGAACTACAGAGTACAGAAGATATTAGCCTACACCACTTAGGCCTATTAAAATATTATTAAAAAAAAACTGACCCGAACCAATAGGTAGACCTACAGAATGAAGGCTAGATATAGGCAACAGTAATTTATAATCTAATATAACGCACGCAAATTTGTTCTTTACAGAAAAAACTGCAACCGGCCAAAGGGAGATAAAGAATTTTTTCCCTCTCCAGCGTCCCCAGTTCTCCGTGTCAAATGCACGGAAGAAAGAATTAGATGACGCATTTTTTAAGATGGTTTACTTGGATTATGAACCTCTGACAAAAGGTGAACGAGAGGGCATGCGTCATTTTGTCAGCATTGCCCAGCCCGGGTACACCACTCCATGCTACAGTACAGTGCGTGATACACTGATGCCAAATGCTCTTAGTGAGATGGAAGGCAGACTTAGGGAGCTGTTGCAGTTAGGAGATGGCTTCGCGCTTACGCTAGACATATGGACAAACAGAAGAGGACACAGCTTTCATTGAAGTTTCGTTGATGAAGTGTTCAATGGTCACACTGTGTTGATGTCCTGTGAACATCTTAAAGGACACCACACAGCTGAGAATATTTTTCAGAAATATTAAGTTGTTTTACAACACTGGAATTTACAAAGACGCGTTGTCAGGGTGGTGACCGACAGCGCCAGTAACATGATAAAGGCTTTCAACCTCCCAGGGTTTGAGGAAAGTGCAGTAGAAGAGGAGGGAGAGGAAGGGCGAATGCTGAAGCCTGACACTTTGTCCAAGCTAATGTTTCTTAAAGTAAATTCTAAAATCCAGTAGACATCAAGAGACGTTTTAATAGACCACAGTTCCCCGCAGTTATGGTCAATTTTAACTTGACACTAGAAAGTGTGTTTCTTTCATTGATGTCAGTTCATAATCCAAGCATTCTTAAGTGCAATTTATCTTGCGTGTGCTTTTCACAGGCTTTAGAATCCAGGTGTATTTTGTAAAGATCTACGCACATTTCATCTCGTGTGTGTGTGTGCATTTGTGTTTTAATGAGCCTGTTTTGAATGTTCTATTGCACAACAACGGCAGCTATTTTCACGGAAATAAAGTTAACGAAAATCAAATACACTTTTTCAGTTTTTGCATTTTAGGTAGGTTTGCTAAGGTTAGATTCATATATTTAATAAATTTTAATTAATACATTACAATTAATAAAATTAAGAAGAAGGTAAGAATTACGCTCTGAAACATGATAATTGCTATCTATCAACATGCTTAATTTTAGACAATTATCCAAGAATTTCGGTACAAACAGTAAACAATTAGACCTACTAGAGAAATTGTATGTCGGAGCGGGATCTGAGCGGGAATTGGTTTACGGCGAGCGTGAGCGGAATATTAATGGAGCGCTTGCTTGGGCGGTTAGAGCGACTGAGTGGAGCGCACGTCCATAGAGCGGAAAATGTAGCGGAGCATCACACCGCTCCGTTTCGCTCACATGCTCTGCCCAAAGCCAGTTTAAGAACTGGTTCAAGGAAATCAAAAACTGGAAACAAATGAAATTTTGACAGGAACATAACCAGAAACAAAAAAGAAATAAAATGTAATCATTCCGAACATATATTCCTATTTGAAATGGCCTTTAACAGGTTAATAACGTTATTGTATCGTTCTGTTTAGAATTTTAATTGTGCAATCAAGCAATCATGAATTCAAAATGTTACGGTCATATCCCCTATCGTATTCTACAACAAAAACAATCAGAGCACCTTGTTATCACTAGTTTTATTTTGATTTCCTGAGCCCGCTATTAGCATATAGCCCGTTAGCATCGCCAACATGGTTGCCGTTAATCTCGCTTACATTGCTACCACTCTTTTCACACACATTACCATTGTTTTACTCACTGTTACTTGCATTTATGGCGGATGTGTGTCTACCTTTGAGTGCAGATGAGGACACCGAATAAAGCTCGAGCTGGAGGCCATGGAGAAGCAGATCCGCGACCTGGTGGAGAGGCAGGCCCAGCTGAGAGAGCGGAGAGCCGCGCTGGAAACATCCCGGGCTGACGCTCACAAGTCCGGGGTAAGTATACAGCACAATACTAACACTCCCACCACCTCTACTCCGTGTGTTACTCTGCACAGGCCCGGTGCACCCAAGACGCGATCTTCCCAGATGTCCTTCACTTCGGCGCCGGGACACCACGGACCCTGGGTGCACCCGACACGGAAGACGCGAGGCAGGCCCCGGGCGACGACCTCTCCACCACTGCCGCCTTCGATCTTCGAGAGCTCCACCCGGAACCGCTTCGCTCCCCTCCGCAAGACGGAACGCGATGCTGTGATCATCGGAGACTCCATCGTCCGGCACGTCCGTGCTACGTTAGCTGAAGGTAAAGTGCACACTCACTGTTTCCCTGGTGCTCGTGTTCTCGATGTTTCTGCGCAGATACCCGCGATCCTGAAGGGCGAAGAGGGCACCGTAGCGTTCGTGCTTCACGCGGGGCTTAACGACACCAAGCTGCGGCAGACGGAGACACTGAAGAGGGACTTCAGGAGCCTGATCGAGACGGTGCGCCG